AGATAGAGATAGAGATAGAGATGATAGATAGATAGATAGATAGATAGATAGATAGATAGATAGATAGATAGATAGATAGATACAGACCTATTCTTTAAGGAGAGCATAAATACATCTTAACTCATTGGCTCACAATATGACTTCAGCATTACTTCCATGTTTCAAAGCATCCTTGACCTGAAGCAATCATGTTATTCTGCCATTCTCAAAGCAGATCCTGTATTAAATAGAGGATTGACAAAATGACCTCAGCAAATGAACTTCCATTCTTTCTAAACAGTGCTTCAATCAAGAAAGTTTGGAACCTGATTATAGACATGGACCTGCCCAACATGGTAGCATCTTTGAAAAAAAGTGTCCCAAAATTTTCCTTTTTTTTTTTTTGGTGCATATGGTGCAGCAGTTTCTGCTTCATGTCTAAGTTTTAAAAGTTAACAGCAGTGTGGCTGTTCTATGGAGATAAAATAAACATGTTTCCTTTTGACATTTTTCAAAGAAAGTACTATTGCAAGTAAGCTATTATCTCCTAGGTAATTATAAAATTAGTATCATCATTGTCCCTTCTTTTCCATGTCTCCAGGGAATCCCAATAGACACTGACAAAACAATGACCTCAGGCTCAAACATTACAATCCATTCCATTAAAATAAACTCAGAAATATAGAACTGCACAAGGGGAGATCAGGAATGCATGGTTGAACTGAGATACTTCATGATCTTCATTTTCTTGAGAGGCTGGTTAATTCCAACTCAGCTCCTCAGTTGAATGGTAACATTGGAGTTTCACTTTGATGTCTACAATGACCATATTTTATACTGAGTTGCTTCTATTCAGAACTCTGGTTTTATTCTTCTCTCCTACGATGATGTGCACTTCTCTTGTTTACAGCTGCAACCTCAGTGGTCCTCTTCCAATTGTTCACAAGTATTATCAGTCTGGAGACTTAATCATTGCAGCTATTATTTATCAGGTCTTCTTTCTTGCAAATGAGATCAATTTTGAAAGTGTCCCTTCTCATGATGTGCTTGATCAGTACCTGTAAGTATCCCCATCCTCATTCTCACACTCATCACCATCTAAATGCTGGATTTCCTTCCTTCCTTCCTTCCTTCCTTCCTTCCTTCCTTCCTTCCTTCCTTCCT